AACAATGAATCATGGAACACTTCATCTAAAACTAATGATGTAATGTATGGGGATTAACATAAGAATAAAAAAATAAATAAAATAAAATAAAAAGTGCAATGGGGGCACCTGGGTATCTCAATCAGTTAAGCATCTGACTCTTGATTTCAGCTCAAGTCATGATCTCAGGCTCGTGAGATCGAGCCCCACATCACGCTCTGTGCTGGGCATGGAGCCTGCTTGAGATTCTCTCTGTCCTTTTCCTTCTGCCCTTCCCCCCTTCTCTCTCTAAAAAACAAATTAAAATTAAAAATTAAAAAAATTAAAAAGGCAATGGATTCATATAAACGGGAATACAAATTTTATCATCTGGGTGAACTATTTGCTATTTCACCACATGATATATAAATAAAAAGATGCTAATAGTGTTCTTATTAGTACTCGCATAATGTAAAAGTTGGCACCAATGATTTGCATCTTGGTTCTTTTATTTACTTATTTTTTTAGTTAGATAAATGTACTTTTTAAAAAAAATTATTTACTTATTTATTTTTTTTTGATGTCATGTTCCATGATTCATTGTTTGCATATAACACCCAATGCATCTTTGTTCTTTTAAAAGATATTTGATTGTGACCACCAACAGTTTCAGCTTGCTGTGTTTATGAGTCTTATATTTTGTGAGTGTCTTAACCTTTAAAAAATTATTACCTTTCAACTTCTACCTTGGAATCTATTTTTTATATTGGGATGTATTCCACATTTGGCAAAACATTTTAAATAATCTTTATCAAAAGTTTACACATTATTTTTAGAATATGGCTTGAGAAAATCTACATTTGCTGACAAGACAACATTCTTCTCAATATTTTCACCATTTGCAATACCAAATGCAACAGTTAAACGTGATTATGATTTTGCTTATTTTCACTTCATTATTCTTTTTTCTCTTACTGATATAAAAATTCATTTCTAAAGGGCAATATAAGCTGGTTTTATTGACGTAGTACAAACATTTGAAAAATGTTGTCTTTGACATTATTTTTCCATAACTGAAATTTATCAAGAACTCTCATTAATTTTGCCGACTACAGTTAAATATCTCCTGGACTTAGCAATTAGTTGTGGATTAGGTAAATATAAAATTAAATGTACAAGATTAACCTTCCCATTGAGGTGATGATCAAATCTCTAGGAAAGAAAAGATAGAATAATCTCACTGTGGACATGTGCTTTTCTTACGCATTATCTTTGTCTTACATGATTCTTTATAAACATCTGCAGTATTTTTTGCAAAATACACAGATCTGTCTAGAGTTCCATATGATTCATTCTTATATTTTCTATTCTATTAATTTTACAAAATGGTGGTTGTGACTCATCACCAAGGGGTTGCAACCAACAGGCTACACTTTACTCATTAAACTACTTAGTAGAGTCTACTCATTAACCTGCACTAGGGTAATTGTTCAGTCATGTGGAGAAATGGATCCCTCATTCACACCCTAAACCTGAGTTGATTTCAAGTGGTTTAAAGAAATAAATGTGAAAAGCAAAGTGTTTTTTAGAAAAAAGTTAAGAAGAATAATATATTACTTCTGGGTAGGGAAAGATCTATTAAAAAGTCCATAAAAATAATAAGACATGGAAGAAAATATTGATGAATTCAGTTATATTAAAATTCAAAACTTCAGTTCAGCAAAGAGCAGTATAAAACAGAAAAGTCACAGATGAAAAGGAGATACTTTGATGCATATTACCAATAAAGAATTTTTTTCCAGAATAGTAAACATAAAAATTTATACAATTAATACATAAAAGACAAGGAACCCAACTGCAAATGGGGAAAAATATATGAACAGGTAAGTTACAGATGCGAACACCCAAGTGAGTCGTAACCTACAAAAAATGATTATTGGCTATCAGGTAAATGTAAGTGAAAATGATAATGAAATACAATTTTATACTCATAAGATTAGAATTTTTTTAAATTTGAAATTCCAAATGCTGGCCATGATGTGCAGTGGTGGGAACTCAAGCACTCCCAATGGTTTAGCCCATAGGTATAACGCATCTGGAGCAGAATGTGCTGATATCTAGATTATAAGGAAGTCACCCTCTTGATGCAGCAATTGTAGAGATAAATATGTATATAAAATCTAGAAATATTTTTGTGCTTGAGTACATGAAGAAATGGGGACATTGTTTCCAACTGCAATAAAATCAAAAAATAATTAAATTACAAGAATGGATAAATAAATTGTGGTATATCCATACAACGCAAGACTATCCAGCAAGGAAAGTGAGCACCTAGAGATCTAAATGCCAACTTGTATAAATCTCACAAACACAACAATGAACAAAAATGTTCAAGTTGTGTATATATATATATATATATATATAATGCCGCTTATATTGAGTTTAGAACCATGGAACAGAATGCCATATCTTGGTTAAAAAGAATACATGTGTTTTAAAGGATTATAGGAAGGTATGAAATATGAAACATCAAATCCAGAATAATAGTGATCCCTAAGGAAAAACAGAGAAGCTCTCCATCATGTTGGTAATGCTCTATTTCTAAAACTGGGAAATGCTACACAAATTGCATCATATTCTTATTTGTATGTTTTGTATATATTAAATTTCAATTATTTATTCAAAAATAAATTTAAAAAATAAAAATAGATGATAACCTGGATGTGTGTTGTAGTGAGAACAAAAAATAGGAAGAAGTAGTGACATTTTCGAAGACAGAAACATCAGGCTTTTTTAGACTGCATGCACAAAATTACTTACGTGGAAGGATTAATAATAAAGCCATAGTTTCTAGCATAAAATAAAACACAAAATAATTGCTTGATGCAAAAGTTGATAGAAATGTTACAATCCCTTGAAGTCCATGGATTTCACAACATTATAATTCTTCATATCAACTTATTCATAAAGCACTCCTTATTTTTAAATGGTTTTAAATTTTTGTGGGTGTTTTTTTTAAAGAGAGAATGTGGGGCAGGGGGCAGAGGGAGAGAGAGAATCTCAAGCAGGCTCCACGCTCAGCAGGAGCCTGATGCAGGGTTCAATATCAGGACCCAGAGATCAAGACCTGAGCCAAAATCAACAGTCGGACGCTTAACTGACTGAGCCACGCAGACACCCCATTCATAGTCTAAATTGTAAGGAGGGTTAAGAGAAAACAAGAGAAAGCAGGCAACACTGAGCAAGTGAACGGGACTTGGGTTCTCTTTCCTGTCACAGGGATGGAAGTCTGAGGTCTCTGGAATATTCTCCAGAGGATATGCCCCTCACCCCTTCTATAAGCCATGGACGGGAGCACCAGACGTATCAGTGAGAGATCTGTGATAGTGAAAAATTTACTGATGAGAACACAGGGGGATAAAACTTACAAAGTAACTGGCTTGACCAGTGTCAGGAAAGATCTTGTTTGAAATCTGTCCCAGAGTCCACCAACCATCTAAAATCAGCAACAAAATGAATGACATATTTAATGAGCAAATCACATCATGTCTTGTCTATAAGCTCCTGTGCTCTTAACCATCCCCACCACATCATAGGCAAGCCCCAGGCTCCCAATGGAAAGCACTCTCCAAACCTGCTTAGCAACAGAGGGCTTTGCCCCAGAGCCCCTCCTGGTCTCTGCTCTGCCCTCAGACCCTTAGTTTCCATTAGCTTTCACACAGCTGGAATCTGCCTCATCATCTACGTCCTATAGACTGAAGCCCTGTGAAAGGTCTGATTTTGGTTTTCATCTCAGAACCTGTGGTCACTTGGCTCTGTTTTTGTCCACCTTCTGCAGCCCCAGGCTGGTTGGTCTCCCCTTTCCAGCCCCATCCAGACCCTGAGCTTTGAACTTCATCTTGCCAGGAAGGACTTTGGGTTCTGGCATAATTAGATGCCAAAGCATATGTTTAAAAATGATATAAAAATATTTTCAAAAGATATAATTTTCAAAAGATATAAAAATATTTTTAAGTAGTTGAGAGATCCTTAAAAACAGCTGTAAGAATCCAGGCACATTTTCTGTCCTCCGACTTAGTTTAGTTTCTATGGGCAAATCCTGTGCCAAGACTTTATATTATAGCCACATTGTTTCTCTCTTGCTGCCATTTTGCTCTGTAAAAGCTGACAAAGATTTTCAAAATAATGTGGGCTTCTTACCCTGTGGTTCTGAACCTCTTAGGAGTCCGTATTTAGCACCATATTTATATATAATCATTTTCCTCTTTAGTGCTATGTGTTTTACATAGGAAAGAGCTTTGTTATGAGAGGTGGTCCCTGGGCTTGTCAGACTTCCAAGGGATGAGGAACAGAGCAAAAGGATGAGAGATTCAATGCAAGTAGGAGGCGCTTTGCAAGCACAGAGCCAGGATTGGGAGGGCAATAGTGAGGTCCCACATTAAGACCCAAAGGATTCATGGGACTTAGCCTGGAAAAAATGGAATGCCAAAGGGAGTGGAATACTGTTTGTTCAGAGGATGGGGTTTGAGGAGCAAGAGGAACAGGAAGGCAAGGATCAGGCTGAGGAGGGGTCATGGGCAAATAACAGGACGGGGGACATGTCCTGTCAAAGAGCATGGATTTCACTTCCTCAAAAATGAAGGGTTTTAATCAGAGGAGTGATATGAAGCGATTCACACTTTAGGAAAAGTACCCTGGCTGTGGTGTGGATACAATAATGCACGTGCTGAATTCTTGATGTTTGGAAATGAACACAGAGGGGCGCCTGGGAGGCTCAGTCGGTTAAGTGTCCAACTCTTGATTTTGGCTCTGGTCATGATCTCAGGGTCGTGAGATCGAGCCCCATGTCAGGCAGGCTCTATGCTGAGCGAAGACCTGCTTAAGATTCTCTCTCTCCCTCTGCCCCTCCCTGCCCTCTCTCTCTTAATAAAATAAAATAAAATAAAATAAAATAAAATAAAATAAAATAAATATGAAAACATACATCTCTGGAGACAACCAACTATGCTTTGTTTTGCTAGAAATAAGAGCTCTCTGATTCATGGGTTTTCCCATTCTGTCTCAGAGTGCAGAGGTTAGGTTCAATTTCAAGAACTGTTCTCAACACAGGTTCTCTGATGGAATCATAATTATTTCTCCATCCCTCAGTCCTCCTTGTGCAGTTTTAAAATAAACACAGTCATTGCAAAGGACTTTTGAGACAGAGGTAGTCTTTAAATAAAATTTTAAAAAGTGCAATACAGGTAACATTGAAGATTTGAGGTTATTGATGACTTTTTTGATTATGGCACTTTCTAGTCCATAAATGTATATATTTACATGTTCTTTCCGTGTTTCTTACAATAAAATGAATATTCAAGTTTTGGGCTTCAGTTTAGAAATAAATGCACTGTTGCAAAAATGCAACGTTATATATGGGAAAAGGCATTATGCACATGTAATTGAGGTCCCTAATCACTGACCTGGGTTATTGATGGGGCCCCTTCATATCTTTTCAGTGTAAAACACTGTGAAATCAGGTCAGCAGCTTTTTCCACTGTTGTTTCTTCTGGGTCGGGTTTCGGTGGTAGCATCTTGTCCCAAGGAACAACTTCATAAGCTCTGTGAAATTATTAAATAAGGACATAGTAGGAAAAATACATATTCAAATGGTATGAGTCCTAGCAGTATCATACACTGTGGCAGGCAGAATTCGATGGTGTCCCCCATGACTCCTGCCCCCTGGTGTACATGTCATATATAACCACCTCCCCTCTGGTATGGGCAGAGCGAATGAGTATGACAAGATACCACTCCTGTGATACTTTGTATGTCAACTTTATATGGCCAAGGGATTGTGCCTATATATTCAAGGTCCCTAATCAGTTGAATTTGAGTTAATCAAAAGGTGGATTCTCCTAAGTAGGTCTGACCCAAACAGGTGAGCCCTAAAAAGAGATAAACATACAGTAGACACTTTGCAGCTGTCCTTAAAGAAACACCTCATGAGGGGTGCCTGGGTGGCTCAGTCGGTTAAACGTCCAATTCTTGATTTCGGCTCAGCTCGTGATCCCAGGGTCCTGGAATCGAGCCCCACGTTGGGCTCCGCACTCAGCAGGGAGTTTGCTTCTCCCTCTCCCTCTGCCCCTCCCCTTGTTCATGCTCTCTTTCTCTCAAATAAATAAGTAAAATCTTAAAAAAGAAAGAAAGAAAGAAAAGGAAAGAAAAGGAAACACCGCATGAGCCCCCCAGCTTTAATGAACTGAATTCTGCCGCGAATCCGATTGCTCCTGGAGGACAAGGACCCAGCCCCAGCTGACACTCTGATTCCAGCCTGAGAAACTCTGAGTATTGAACCCAATTGGGGCACACCTGGACTTCTGACTGCAGTCATGTGGTTTAAAGCTGATAATTTGTGGTCATCTGTTGCATGGCAGTAGAAAATCAATGCATTTAATTATATGCATCTTACAGTTCACACACAAAAAAATGCATTTGACCTTCACAGCAGGGCAGAAAGACCATTCTTTAACTTACAAATAAACAAACTCTGGCTTAGAGAATGAAATTTGTTTGCTTAAGGTTGCTCAGCTACTGGTGGTCGAAGTCAGGATGCTGATGCAGATTCTCAGCCCCTGAAGAGTGAGCCACATTCCCACTGCCCCACACCGATGATCCTGATTATCAAAGTCTGGACCGTGGTACCAGGAGTCCAGCCATCTTAGCAAAAGCAAGCGTTATACACACAGGATTCGGATCTAAAGGTACCATCTTGGATTTCAAGTTTTGAAAGTTTTATTGTTTTAGACAGACACACATGACAGATACAGCTAAACAGACTCCAGTTTGATTCTGAAGGAAAACCAAAGAGCCCTCATTCCCGTGGTGACATCCGGACAGGATAGATGGATAGATGGCCATCCCCGGTGTCCAGCATCCTGCCCCTACCCTGCCCAGCCTTGGTGCAAAAGCTGAACGCTCCGTCCCACCCTGTCAGCCAGCCTTCTCCTTCCAAATAATTCCACTCCTCTCAGTTGGCAATTACCAGTGATCCTCATTCCCTCAACAAATATCTATTCAGCGATTACTGTATTTCAAGCACTGTGCTCGGGGCTTGGGATAAAAGCCTGGATAAGAAACAACATAAACATTTTATTTACCATATAGGACTGATGTGATGATTCATTAAATTAATATTTGTGAAATTAAACACCATGGTGATGTCTCCACAGTGTGTTCACTGTTGTGTATATGTTTTCAACTCACTCACTCTGAAATTACCGTGGCCTAAAGAAAAGCTAACTCTTATGAAATACTTTCAATTGTAGCGAAAGCTTAAACGGTTCATTTGTCTCTCTCTTATTTTAAATGATTTTATTTATTTGTCACAGAGAGAGATGAGCACAAGCAGGGGGAGCGGCAGAGGAAGAGGGAGAAGCAGGCTCCCGCTGAGCAAGGACTAGATCCTAGGACCTTGGGATTATGACCTGAGCCACAGGCAGATGCTTAACAGACTGAGTCACCCAGGGGGTCCCTAAAATGGTGCATTTTTCAGACAGAATATCTGAATGGTATTGTCGTAAGAAATTCACCTGAGTTGAATTAAATTTTGCAAGATGCATCTCTGTTTGAGCCTCTGATGCATTTCACTAATATTTTATGGAATTTTCCATACAGGTTTCACAAGATTTTTTTCCCCTATGAAAACTTTTATATGCTGTGTTTTAAATAAGACTATCGAATAGTATGATTTCATACTTTGTATTGTCAAAAGTCCTTATATTCTGAGCAAAGCATCATGAATTTAGCCAAATCAGTAACTTTTTCCAAGATGACCACTGGAATTTTTTCTGAGAGACACCAAGATAAGAATACGATAGGGAATGAAATAAAAACCAGAGAGGAAATTATAGGCCATTTCGTTAAAATTCTTCATTTTTAAGATGAGAAAGGTGAGAATTGGGTGTCTCACTACCCGCCCCCAGACTGCAGATGCTTTCCATAGAGCTCTTTTCTCAACTTGCTCTAAGACTCTGAAACACAGCTCCATACCATGTCTTTCTTTCTTTCCTTCTTTCTTTCTTTCTTTCTTTCTTTCTTTCTTTCTTTCTTTCTTTCTTTCTTTCTTTCTTTCTTTTTCTTTCTTTCTTTCTTTCTTTTTTAATGTAAATGAAGTTTATTTTGCTTTTTAAGTAGTGCTCTTAAAGCATTGCAGCTTGGTAAATAGTGTAAATTAGTACTTGTTTTTTCATGAGTTGCTAAAAAGATGCAGCCTATTCTAAAGGGATAAATATTTTCACCACTTCACTTGGAGTTAATGAAGGCTCACACATGAACAACACTCTTCCTAAGGAAAACAAGAAGCTGTTGCCAACACACCAACGAAAAGAACTGTGTAAAAATGATTGTCGCTACACTTTTCCAGTTGTTTTACAAGGAGGAGATAAGGCACACGATCTTGCTACAAACTTGCCATCCAGACTTGTAATACTTGTGGTCTATGCAGAGGGTTCTGTCCAAGGGACGTGAACTTCAGACAACGGGGCACTGTAACCCTAATAATGCATTTGGTTGACTGGTTATCTTTTCTTCTGAAATATGGGTTAGAACGAAAATAATTCCTCATTAAAAATTGACATTGTTTACAGAAAAAAGGCTGTATGATTTTGCATCAGAATCTCCAAGTATATGTTGAAATAGAATTTGCCTCCTCCCCCATCTCAGCCACAAAATGGGCAAGAAGTACAATTCTTTAAAATGCCTTAATTTGGGGCACCTGCGTGGCTCAGTCGTTAAGGGTCTGCCTTCTGCTCAGGTCATGATCCCAGGGTCCTGGGACCGAGCCCCTGTGTTGGGCTCCCTGCTCAGTGGGGAGTCTGTTTCTCCCTCTCCCTCTGCCCTCCTCCCTGCTTGTGCTCTCTCTCTCAAATAAATAAACAACATCTTTTTAAAAATTCCTCAATTTTCAACTTCCTGAAAACTAAATACAGATGATTGAAACCAAAGCTTACAGAATGGCAGGATATTTCACAGAACATTTCTTATACACAAAACACATAAAGGGCTACTAAGTGACATTTTCATTAACAAATTGGCATCATTTAGGTCAACAAGTATCCCAATGCTGATTTCTTCTGCTAAGGAGACTTGCAGAGAAAAAGGGAGAGAAAGAGAAAAGAGAGAGAGAGAAAGCATGACTTCTGATTTTAATCACACATTTCACATATATTCTTTATATTTTTATAAACCTTCTGGGAAAATATCTACTCCTAAGTATATTTCATGAAACTGGTGGTGGGTGAGGCTGAAACGTGAGGCACATCTGCTGGGTTCAGCCCCTGGGGAAGGAAGGACTTTGGAGGGAATGAAGTGCTTTGCAGCACCCACACACATTGTCAGGTCCCTGTGCTCACGGCAGCCACCCCCGGACCCCCGCTTCTCCACTCTCTGTGTTTCTGCTGACTTCAAAGCCCACTGGGCAACTGCAATCATCTCTTCTCGGGGTTGACTGTCCTTGACCGTTTGCACAGTTTCACTGCCTCCTCCCCGAACACCCTTAACGTGTGTCTGCCAATTCACACTTGTTGCTAAGCCATGACCCCTGCACTTAATTTCTCTAGCCGCTCTTCCAAACCCCAGACCCATACACCCTGTCACCTACTTGACGTAGCCACGTGGATATCTAATGAACATCTTTATATTCAGCAGGTCTAAAATGGACTTCTGACCTTTCCCTCCAAACCCACTCCCCTGTGTCAAAGTAATGGCAACCTCAGGCCATCTGGCTGCTTAGCCCAAACCCTTGGATTGTCCTTGACTCCTATTTCCTTGAGATTCATTACCTGCAAACTGGAAATTGTGTTGGCTCTACTTTCAAAATATATCCAGAAGCCAACGGTGGCTGACACCTTCCTACCAGCCTCCCCCAAACCGTCCTTACCTGACCTCTATAGACGCCAGTGGTACCCTGGCCTCCCCCTTCTGCCTCATCCGGTTGTCTGGGAACACAGAGGCCACCACGTTACTTTCTGCGAGTCTGATCTTGCCACTTCTCTGCTAAACCTTCACTTCCCTCAGAGAAAAAGCCCTGGTGTTTACAGTTGCTTAAAGTGCCCCTGGACGTCTGGTTCCAGACACTCCCTGCTTTTTCCCATCTTCTCTTCCTAATTCCCCTCTTGTACTCTGCTCTAGATACCCTGGCCCGGGTGCACCCCTGACTCCATGCACATTTCTGACACAGGTCTCTGCATGGTTCTGCATTCCCTCTGCCTGGAAAATGGTCACTCCAGAGATCTGCAATCACTTCCCTATGCCTTCTGAGCTTCTCTCAAATCCCATCACTGAGGAGGACCCCCCCGCAGACCTCCTTCACTACTGAAACCTCCTACCCTTACACAGGACACCCTTGATGCTCTTATCCTGTTCCATCTTTTTTATGTTTCCATAGACTCATTACCTTCTAAGATATGAGCTATTTACGTGTTACGTTTGTGCTTATCGTCCATCTCCCTTTAGTTTGTGCTTATCGTCCATCTCCCTTTAGAATGAGAGCTCTTCGAGAACAGAGATCTTTGTCTGCCTTATTCCCTGATGAACCTCATAGCCTAGGGCACAGACACACAGCAAGAGTTGAAGATGGTTTTTGACTGAGTAAATGAACTCCTTCAGGCTTTCTCTGCTTTGGTTTTCTGTGATGCTATACTCTTATCTTCTCCTCTCTCTAACCATTTCCTTTCTGCTTTGGTTTTATTCTTCTATTAAACATAGATTTTCTTTAAGACTCTCCCTTGACCTCTTTATTTTAGCCATCAACATGAGCGAGTAAGTATCTGCATCTGATGCTCTCTGAATGACTCATTGAAGCCAGGACACTGTGGATACAAAGGGGATGTGTCATGAAAGATGACACAAATACTTTATTTTTTTAGTTTATTTTTTTTATTTTTTAAAAGACTTATTTATTTATTTATGTGGAGGGGGAGGGGCAGAGGGAGAAAAGGGAGACGGAGAGGGAGAATCTCAAGCAGACTCCCCGCTGAGTGCAGAGCTACACATGGGGCTCAATCTCAGGACCCTGAGATCATGACTTGAGCTGAAATCAAGAGTCGGCTGCTTAACCGACTGAGCCACCCAGGCGCCCCTAGAAGTACATTTTTAAATCAAAGTTCTATTGGGAAAAATGCTTACTTTTGAGTCGAGGACTTGTAAAATGAGTCCTTTGCACTGTATTTTCCATTTGGTTGTAAAAGCGGTTCTCCATCCTCCTAGAAGGTGTGAATAATAAATTAAAGGAGATCAGATAACATGGGAAGTGCTCATGCTTTCTACGCATGTGGTTTCTTGTTTTCTCTGTCCCTACTTTTCTCCTGTCATAGCACCCCATGGGTGGACCAGGTTTAACACTCCCCTACTTCCCTCAGTTGTCTTGAAAATTTACATTCTCTGTATAATCTCCCAGTGATTAAGTTAAAATTGACAAAATGTATATTCAAGTTAACAGAAAATCAATTCTTTAGGAGAAAGCTCTTGAATTTTAAATGTTGGCAAATGATGTTTTCAGCACCATGCAATTCAAACATCTTAAAATGTCTTGTCTCTCTTGTCTTCTAATGATAGAAGGACATTAGCTCTGCAATATTTCCCCCTTCCTATCTTTCATCTTATTTCATTAAAATGACTTATTATTATAACTGTTGTCAGGGACTATTTATTTAAAATTTCCACAATATTTTATCAGTGGTTCTTTGCCTGCTTTTACTTCTTGTATTCTATTTGGTTTTTGTTTTGTTTTAACCCTGTATTCCTGGTTCCATTCTCTTTGGCTGAAGTTCTATTTTCAGTCATTCTTTCAAGGATATGAGCTTATTCTAGCTCAGTTTTTTAACTAACTCATCCTCACCTTTCACCACTGTTCCAGATGAATTTAGAATTCTAATTTAATGGTTATGTTTATTTAGTAACCCAAATACATTTCATTGACCTCTGGTCTGTTATCGTTACTTTGAAAGTACACAGATGATGATGGTCTGCAGGTATTCTGTGTCCCCCCATCCTCATCCTCTGGTAATATTTAGGATATTTGTCTTGGTTTTCCCATGAAGAAAATTTGTTTAGGAGAAGATCTATTTTTTTCATCTGGCTTAAGATGTGTTATGTTTCTCTAATCTGAGAATGCCTAACTTTCACCAATTTGGACAATTCTCCATTGTCCTCTTTACTGTCAGTGGATTCACTTTATTCTCTTATGAAGTGCCCATAGACAAATACTAGACTTTCTTGTTCTGTCCACTTAGTGTCCTAACTTTTGCATCTCTTCATCCTTAACTTCCATTGTACCGCTATGCACTTTCCAGTTCATACTTCCTTCTTCCCCTGGTTCTAGTCTCTGTTTAAACCTGGTTGTTACATATTTTTTAATTTCACCAAGGCTACATCTAGTGAAATCATTGTAATGGTTCTGTTAGTAGGATGAATTATATATATATATATATTTTTTATTTAGAAGTGTTTAGAAGTGTTTTTAGGGGCGCCTAAATTTCCTGTCTTGTGATTATGAATATATTCTCCATTATGTCACTGAGCACAGTTACAACAGCTGTATTAAAATCCCTGTCTGATAATTCTAGCATCTAGCATGTTCCCATGTGAGCTTATCCCATTTTCCATGGTCTTTGTGTGTTGAGTAATTTTGGATTGTATGTTGGACGTGGTACATTTTATGTTGAGGAGACTCTGGATTCTGCATTATTCCTGACTGTATTTTGGATAATAGTCGGATCTTAGATCAGTACCTTGTTTGCCTTTGATAGAACTGCTTAGAGTCTGTTTTGAGCAAAGACAGTCCAGGGATCAGGCAAAGACTTGGGATGAGTTCATACGTGGCACTATGGCTCCCTCCCCAGCTGCCTCCCGTTTGGGTTTCTTTCCTTTAATTCTTGGGTCATGCTCCATTCTTTCACCTCTTTAGGTCAGAAAGACAGAGATTTCTATTGAAATTTTAACCACTCCAGTTTCCTGAATGTAGCCAACCTTCAGGCCACAAGGGGAAAATCACCCCGAGTTCATCCTCTAAGTTTCAACTCTGAAATTTGCCTGATTTTGTTCGATCACCAGAGGTCTTGACCCGATGGATTTGTATTTCGTCAGAGTCTGGGGTTGTTACTGGTGGGAGGGTTAGGCTATTAGGAGCTTACTCTGCCACAGAGGACACAAAAATGTTTAATGATTTTTTTAAGATAAATAATTGATTTTAAAGAATCTGATTTGTTTCCTTTTCACATCTGCCTGTTCTTCTCCATAAGTCCTGTTCTTTCCTTAGAAATTTAATTTCTTGAAAATTAATGTATATTCAGATGGTTCTATTATCTGAGGCTCCTTGGGAGAGATGTCCCCCTTCTGTTGTGCCCACTGATATCCTCTCACAAGCAACCCTTTTCACATGCAGAGTATGATTTTGATGGTGGTTTCATCTAGGGAGCGCTATTTTCTTTGGAATGCTGCCTGTCAGTGCCACTTTGTGGAAGTGTTCCCTCGGAGTATTGCTTATTGTTTCTGGGTACAAAAGATTTTCTTCTTTTTTTTTTAATTTTAGGATGTGGTATTCCCACACTACATGTGTACTAAGAAATCATGATCCATGTATCCACATGGTACAGACCAGAGTTTCTGTTTCCTCGTGGATAATATATTGTATTTTCCAATTTATTGTCTTGGTCAGGTGGCCAACTTCCCTCCCATGTGTAAAGATTTATTCAAATTTCTACTCATTGCTGAGATAGCCCTTTGTGGTACCTGAATTTACACAGAAAACTCAATTCCAAATAACCACCATGAGATTTCAGACTCCCGTTCCTATGTAGGTATTAAAATCCTGGCCCATGTACTCTTTGGCTTCAGCCAAATCCAGTTTCATTCCCCATTTCTACAGTAAAAGAAGCCCATTTTTATTTGGACCCATGACCTTAGATTAAAGATAACTATTTCACAATTCCTTTGCAGCTAGTGCAATATTGAGTTCTGCCAACATCATTTAAAGTGCTGTGTGCATTTTCTGGAACAAGTCCTTAAAAGGGGGAGGATATCTGTCTTTAATTTTGCTTCTATCCTTCTATCCTGATGCCCAACAGAATGACCTTTGGATTGTTAGGTAAAAGAGAAACTTCCATAGTGTCCCAACCACAGCATATTTGGGTCTCTGTTACCCAAAGCTATACCCATGAAAAACGTAATTTAAGTTGTACATCTATTTTTAGAACTGATTTTCTCTTCCTTTCTGGAAACTGGATCTTCCTCTCTCTTCTCTTGCCTTTGAGCTCAGCTAAGTATTGATTTTAAAATACATGTAGCATTTCAGTATATCTGTAGCATCTCAGTGTATCTGACGTGATAGAGAGGATTTGTGGAAAAAGCTCATTCTTTGACAATTCTGAAAGAAATCTTCTTAATCCTGAATTCTAGAATTAGGACATTTACATATAGGAAAAGGTATAGCTATTTACTGTACAATTTAATCAATCAGTTTGACTTAAATTAGAAACTCATATAACCAATATCTCAGTCAAAATACAGAATATTTTTGCCATCTCCCCAAATACTTCATTTCTACTTTCAGTCAATCTTTACTCCCCATAGGCAGCCACTATTCTATTTTCTATTACTAAAACTTAGTTTTGCCTGCCCTGATCTTCATGTAATTGGAATCAGGAGGTATGTATTTTTTTGAGCCTGGCTTTTTTGCTTACTAATATTGCCTTTTAAAAAAAGATTTATTTATTTATTGGGAGGGGAGGAGTAGAGGGAGAGGGACAGAGAAAATCTCAAGCAAACTCCCTGCTCAGTGCAGAGCTTGTCGCCGGGCTCTATCTCATGACCCTGAGATCATGACCTGAGCTGAAACCAAGAATTGGATGCTTAACTGACTGAGCCACCCACATGCCCCTTAATGTTGGCTTTTAATATTATTGAAATTCTCCCATGTTCTGGTCTATATCTTCCGTGTTCTGGTTTATTCTTTTTTATTGAATACTATTCCGTTCTATGATCTGTTAATCCATTTTCCTTTCTATTGATTTTTTGTGTACATATTAATTAAGCTGCTACAAGCATTCCTGCACAAGTCTTTTTGTGGACACATACTTTGATTTTATTGGGCAAATACTTAAAAATAATATTACTGGGTCATGGTATAGATGTGTCACTTTATAAGATACGCCAAAGGTAAGAGAAGTCCAGTTGCTCTCTGTCCTCACCAACATATGATGTTGTCAAGCATCTTCTTCTTTTCTTTGAAAAAAAGAATTATTTCAAATTATACACACATTAAAAAAAGACTGAGGCAAAGAATTGCTTATTTGCTCTCTTTTTACATCATACTATCTCCTTGATGGTTTTCAAGCATCTTAATTTTAGACATTCTGGTAGGTATTCAATAGTATTCCATTTTGGTTTTTATTTGCACTTCCCTCACAACTAAAAATGTTGAACACCTTTTCATGTGCCTATTGGACATTTATATATCTTCTTTTGTGAAACATTTATTTCAGTCTTGAGGATCTTAAAAATCTTTTTGTTATCAGGTTGTGGGAATTCTTTATATATCTTAGCTCACAGACCTTTCACAGATATTGCAAGCATTTTCTTCCAGTTTGTGGCTCACATTTTTATTTTCTTAACAGTGGTCCAAAGAGCAAAAGACTTTAATGTTAACAGAAGGAATTTTTTTCTAGACATACTGATTTTGACGTCCTCTGTAAGAAATCTCTGCCAACCAACGTTGCAGATATTTTATCTTGTATTTTGTTTTAGAAGCTTCTTCTTGCTAGCTTTTCAGTTTAGGTCGATGACCAGCACAAAGTAATTTTTGTGATGGGATGAGAAAGGGACAAAGACTCCTCTTCCACATAGATGTCCAGCTGTTCAGAGACTATTTGTTGAAAATACTGTGTGTAAGCCATTGAACCGTCTTGTTACTTTTGTGTAAAAACAGTTTATTTCTGGACTCTCAATTCTATTCAGTTGATTTCTCTGTTATTACACCAAAACAATACTGTCTTCATGCAGCATTACTGTGGGTCTTCAAATCAGGTAGAATAAGTTTCCTACTGCACTATTTTTTTCAAGATGTAAATTAATGTAAATTTCAGAGACAAAAGCAACTTTGCACAAAAAAAGCACAGAAGAATTCTGTTAGGGAAAGCACTGCAACTGTTTGGAGCTTAATTTGAATATTGGTATCTTAAAAAATACTGATTTTTCCACTCCATGA